ATTAGGATTTCATCGTCAAATATCAATCCACACACAACATTGGTCAGGCGGATGCGTTATCACGTTTAATTGGTTCACAGCATCAAGAACCAGAGGATTTGGTATTTGTTCAAATCTCCGTAGAACCCCAAGTAAATCAAGTTGTGTCCGACGTTTTCAGTGTCTTACCAGTAACCTTCGAGATGGTGCAGGAAGGGACTCGTCATGATCTTACTCTACAAAAAGTGATCAATTTCCACCTCAAGGACTGGCCTAAGAGTTGCAACGCCGGAGCTTCAACGATTCCACCAACGGAAGGAAGCACTATCAGTCGTCAACAATTGTCTACTGTTCTCAGTTCGCATCGTCCTTCTTGCCATACCGACAATTCCATACTGGTCACCCAGGAATGAATCGCACGAAATCGTTAGTAAGGATTCCCAGATCGAACAGATAACGAAAAGTTGTCTCTGATGTGCCAGTGCTTCTAAACAGCTCGAGAAGACGGAACTGCAATCCTGGAATATTCCTACGGAACTGTGGTCCAGATTACAAAACGACTGCAGGTCCTATGGTGAAAACTACTGCAAGAGCCATTGTCTGCGCTCATCGACAGATATTTTCTCGTTTCGATGCTCCCCATACATTGGTTTCGGGCAATAGTACTCAGTTTACCACATCTGAATTTGCTGATTTCTATTCCAGAAATGCAATCGTCCAAATAATGTCTCCACCTGTTCACCTCCAATAAAACGGGCAAGCGGAGCGCCTTGTGGATATCTTCACAAGAGTCTTGCAAAAAATGAAGGGAGAAAGCACCTAGGCGGAGATTATTGACACATTTCTTTTGACTCATCGTACAACTCTCAATCCACAGAGACCGAACGCATTGTCCACGGCTGAAACCCTGTTTCAGAGGAAAATACGTGTGTCGCATGATGTCCTCAGACCCCGGAAGGAAGAAGTACTATTCCGCAATCTTCAGAGGAAACGTCAGTTAAACATTCGACACGGTGCTTGCAGGCGAGTCCTTTATGTTGGTCAACAAGTTCTGGCTAGATAGTATCGTAGGCAATATAGAAAATAGGCCATGGGCTGTGTGCGATACGAAAGCGACAATATGATCCCCGGTGGCCAGGTTGGGAGAGCATTTTGGGTAAGAGACGCTAATCAACTGCTAGAAACTGACTGACAGACAACTGCAACAGCAAGTACAAGCAGTGAGGTAACTTGTGGACAAACTGGTCGACGCAGGTGAACCAGAAACTCTACAACACACCCAATACATCAAACTCGTGGTTCGTCCAGAAAGCAGACAGCCCGAAGGTCGAAGCGCAGGCGCAAGTTTGTATCCCCCACGATGATCAAGCTGAAGCTAAAATTTTACGAGCAAACGCAAGGGGAGAGAGTTAGGAAGGAAATTTAGGCGAGCAGCCGAGGCGCCGATAGGGAGCCAAAGCATGGCCGATGGGCCGCTACCCTCGAACAAGGACTGGTCGAATATATAGCCAACTGGGTGCACGGATGGACCGTAGATGCCAGTTGAATTGCGAATGAAAGTGCTCAAAACAACCATCCAAACGCCTCTGTTGGTAGGTGATCTGAGACCCATCCGCCTCGCAAATAACCATACTGAAGTCAGGCCTACTGAGGCCAGTGGACCGAATGGGTTCGAACAGCTTGCGAGTGTTACCAGAGAGGGTGGCGGTTTCCATCTCTATTAGGAAGGAAATCTGAGTTATCAGCCGAGGCACCGATACGCAGCCAAAGCATGTCCGATGAGCCGCCATTCTCCCGCGTGGACTGGACGAATATATAGCCAACTGGGTGAACCGGCCAATTAGCACGAGAGCGATATTGCTTGGTCGGTCATAAGTTGACCCTTTTGGAGGTTTCCACGTAATTTTTATATACTACTCCCGAAGGTTTGACTTGACCTTAATAGTGGACGGTGTGACTAGTTTATAAAACCTCGTTTCCACTCTGTTCGTCCGAAACCAGTCTTTTCTCTTTCCTGTGCGGAGCAGGGATCTCGAGTTTCTAATCGGTAACCAGCCGTCTAGTCAGGCGAAAGATGACTATCCCAGTCTTCAAGGCACGTTCAGACCAAGTCTCGCGATCCTTGTTCAGGCTTTGTCTGAGCTGCCGTTTGGCAGAGCGGCGCCGCTAGTCGCAATCTGATTCTGAAGCGGTCGAACAGCTCCAGAGAGTGAGCAGAGACTCATGGCTTTAAGAGACGTCGTGCTAGACAGCAGTTTGAGTGTCTGGAAGTGATCACTGCCTACTGCATACAAGTCCGGTGTTGGTCGATGCCATGCAGCGAAGAATACCTCGCCTGGACCGAGGAGTCGGTTGATCTATTCACACCAATCTTGCGGAGCTTCGTAGTTGGGGACCCCTCAAAACACATGCAGGTTTCCGCGTAGACCAGTGCATGATATGAGTCAATGAATGTGGACCAAAACGATCTGCAGTCTCCTACGCTGCCCCGCCATCTGTAAGGGGATGCAATATGATCAATTTGAGATCACGCTTGTATCGACGAAGTGAGGCGCCAAGTTGCAGAACGTTTCTTCACATGCCTGAAGTTGGTGCTCAAGAGAAACACTTCGCACAATGTGAGAAGTCTCTCTCCGTTAGCCAAGCGGTCCTCGTCGAGTACGTGGTGACCCCGAAACCGAACTGCATACAGTCGGCTGTTGATCGGGAATCAGTCCAGTATTACGGCCTCGACCATACCCCTTAGTGCTATACCTAAACCGGCCAAACCCGCTGAGGCTGCTTCTGCGTCTCCAGAAAGATGCAAAAATTGCTGGTTGCACGCGGCAACTGGACAGAAGAGGCTTACGAGAGAAGAACTGATATACTTGGACTATTAAAAGTGCTCGATCGCTCGGATCGTCATATCCTGCTTCAAATACTTCAGCACCATGGTAAGGAGATCCAGTATTAGGGGGGTTAGTAGCTTTCTCCGCGAACGGCACTATGAGGTTAGAGTCCGAACATCATTGTCCCACACAGTCCGAGTCGATTTGCACCACAGGGTTCGGTCCTTGGGACTCGCCTGTTATTAGACTAAAGAAAATGAGTACTCCAGAGAGTATATGTTCGAGAAAAATATTGGGATTTGGTAGAAGATTAAGAGATTAGAAGACAACGAGATCCTCCAGCGCGACTTTGATAAGGCCTGGGAATGGTCAGTGAAGAATGCGCTGATATTCAACGCGAACAGACACCAAGTTGTTCCCATTCGCCACGTCTACAGGCTCGGGACACACGATATGCAGATCACTACTCAGGAACGCGACCTTTGTGTGCTCGTACAGGACGACGATGGATGTTTCGAACAATCTGGATCCCCTACAAAAAGAGGTAATGAACATGTTAGTCACTTGCGGAGGGCACTGAAATGAAATGAAATGAAATGTGTCAGCTTATACGCCGTAACGACGCTTCGCTGCCGCGCGACCACCACTAGTCGCGCGCGGGCTGAGTATACCGCGAGGACGCCCACCCCTACGCGGATTCGAACCGGTGACCTTACGGTTGGAAAGCAAACGTGCCGACCACTCGGCCACCGGCCGATTGGCAAGCTTGGCTAAAGCGTGATCTCGCGGCGCTCGAGACACCGAAACGTTAAGTAATGAAAAAAGTCACGGGTTCGCGCCATCTTCTGGAACAGGAACGACTGAAGAAACGCGAACTGCTCGATGAACACTACCGGTGGCTACGTGAAGACCACATAAAAGTAGACCAAATACTGAGACCCCAGTAACATGCTTCAGCCTTCAGAAACTCAGGCCGAACACTAATCTGAGAGACAATAGCTTGGAACTGAATCAACAATACAGTCGTTTAGGTTGTTGATGAATTTCTTTCTCCCTCCGGGTATGCCAATACTGAAAGACTCTTCCAAACTAAGTTATTTGTGTCCCTAGTTTGGCCATTTTCGAAAAACCTCTAGATATCGCATTCAGCTCACTACATTTTGTTGTTATGAAATGTGCTCTGGCTGACTAGCTTTTTGGAATTACAATCCACACAGACGCAATTATTTTGGTGAAGGCATGTGAGCAATCCGCTTGTTCTTTACATAAGTATTAACTCCGTTTTGCATCGCGCTCATTCTCACAACACTGTTTCTAATATGATGTTGTTCTGTCGCTTCACCGATGCGTATTTTATTTGATCACATGTGTAGCTTTCGAATTTGCGATTCCTTTTCTTATCAACCTGCGGAGCCTGTTAAGGCTATGCTTTCTACCCAACAGAAACCATTGATCCATCATAATGCATATGAGATTCGAACCGAAGACCCTACAGTATTTGATGTCAGCTTTGCCATCCATTCATCATAAAGACTACAAGTGCTACTGACACTAACCATCCTCTAAGATGCCGTACTTGTGGCGGAGTTGTTCTGGTGTTTGACTTACAACCAAAACGGTACCAGTTCAAGCTTGTGTTGGTGCAGACGCGCGCGCGTACCCGTGGGTGGCTGACAGAGGATAGTCAGGACGAGGCTCCGACGCATCGAGCATGCTTTTGCCGTGCTCTACGAAACTCTGAAAACAGGTCGTCACTATTCAAAAGTTTAAGCGTAGTGATCATTTTACTGAATGCAGCCGCAACTCAAATGCATGCAACTTACAAATCCCTACTGATATGGACACGGACGTCCACCGAGCCAATTTTGAATGGGGAGCGGAGCTTTGAAGAAAAATAGGGAACCGATCACACTCCTAAGCGGTGATGCAGGATTCAACGGGAGTAGGGAAATGAAAGTGTGGAAGTAAAGTGCTGCGACCCACTAAAATAAGTCAGATTCCTATTCAATACATGAACTACTAAAACCCGGACCTCCTATCTCCACCTGAAAGCAAACAAGGTCAAAACGAATCGTGGAGTGGGGTGTTTTTGGGCGGGCAATGCCCAATTTCTGTATTAAAACATCAAGTGGCGCTGATTCATTAGTGCGGCTGGGGCCCTGAGATAGCGCAGAACAAGTGCATCAAACGTACTTGTTTTAGGCGGTTCTTCTTTATGATATCTTTATTCTCCCTCTTATAGGCCTCGATATATCGTTTCGTTTCTTCCACGTCAATATCGTTCACGAGATTATAAACTAAGGGATGCATGCAAAACTGGAACCGTACTTATTTCCTCGATTTTCTCTAGGTACAAATCATAATCTTCCATTGACTTGAAGTCATCCTCGCGCTTGTTAAAACTAAATGGTAACATGAAGATAAATAGCTCACTTACTCACTGAGAATTTTCTTCCTTATCTCCACCTCCTTCTGAACCAAAGGGTCTTCAAACAATTGGCAACGAAAATTCGCCTTTCTGAGAGGGATCTTACACTGCAGACATAAACCGGAACCACGGACGAAGAGAACCTCAACACAGTTCTCACACCTTTCGAAACAAAATACAATAGCATATATGGAATTTACAGAGGATGTCCGCAAGTATTGACCATCAGTTTCAGCTGGGGGTTGCTGTACTTGCTCGACCGGCAGCTTGGACAAGTTTGTGATTGATCAAACATCATCGTCTAAAACACCGGAACAATTATGGGACGAGGAAAACACGACGTTTGTGAACTAGTGGAATCAGCAGATGTGTTAAACAATTCATGGGCATTGGTGGTAAAAGAGAACGGTGTTTTAATATCACTAATGCAGTAGGGAAGCCCCCAATTTGCATGAACGCCACGCTCGGGTACCTTACTGGATCCACCAAAGGGGAAACAAGTGAAATACAGGTTAGCTTACACCATAATATTTGTTACATCGACAAGGGTGTTATGCCTTAACAGGCGAAATAATAGCGTAATACACATCTAAAACAGACTACAGCAGCCCTTCTCAAACTCAAACCCGACAAAGATGCGATTAACTGCGCTCGATTATGCTGCTGTTTACTTCGAACAGTGTGCCGGAGGTACAATTAGCAGGCCTAGAAGCAATTTACTGTGGCAGTCAGGAGGGCGCACTACTCGCTCTGGAATTCTACTAGATGACGAGCTGAGAAACAAATTACGCGAGATATGGCTTAATTGTTATCAAAACATGACGCAACTGAGGTAATGATAAGCACGGGTAGAGCTTCGGTAGGCGCACTGTATTTTTGAAGCACAAAGTACTGCATCGTAGTCGGGTCGACATCCTCGACTCTCATAATCAACTGGTGGTCAAGACCGTTGAAGAAGCTGCTTTGTTTATCGACAAGTTATGCGTAGCCACTGTGTATTGAAGATGAAAGAAAATTGGTCACCTCCGAACTCCATTGATTTTGTAGAAGTGAGCACCAGTTGACGCTTGCTGAAGCCAAGAAGCCCATCGCAATGAGGCTGGACCTGACCGTGGTGCGATGGTTTGTGTGCCTCAGTGATCCATTGAGATATGCTGGATGGAGTTTTTTGCACCTTCAGAGTCACTCTACCAGATTGGTCAATGGTTAGAGACCAGACAAACCCAGCCTCCTGGTACTCCAGGTTGGGGGTTGGAATGAGGTGGCTCCTTACTCCTTAAAACAGACTCCTTGTAGCCCAACGCCAAACCTGCCGCCTTGCGGTCAGGTTTTTGAACCATAGGTTCTGGTTGAGAACCCTAATCGTTCTCCTGTCTAGGCCTAGGCAACCTGACAATATCCTGCCCACGCAATACAATTTCTCTTCAAACAGTTTCTTGATGCTCTGGCCACCACAGAGGATAATCAACGATGCCCTATCTGCTGCACCGAGCAGGGGGGATAGGGGTTTGGATGCTACTGCTCAAGCCTTCCCATCTTCTTATTCCCCCACTTACGCTTTTTGGTTCTTACCGTCCCGTTCCAGCTTCACAGTTATACCTCCTGTTTTCAACCCCCAAATTCTTGGCCATGCCTTACCTTGCTTTGCAAGGCTTTTACCATCCAGTTTCCACGCATATGTGAACGCGGAGCGTCATTCCTGTCCTGTCGACAAGCCCATGTCCAACCAAGCCCAGTTCACCGGCTTCCATTTGGAACCCTCGATCCTCCTTCAGACTGGCATGCCTCAATGTACGCACATTGCTGCAAGTCGGTCAACAGACAGCACGTGCCCAAACATTAGAGACCCTCTCGAACGATATCTACTGCTTATCGGAGACCCGCCTGCATGACTCGAGCTCTGGGCTCACTTTGCGATCCCCTTCAGGTGACACCAGCAGCACTTTCTCATCGCGCCTATCCGGTGACGATGCAGCTTCGAGCACCGGCCAAGCTGGTGTTGGAATCGTCCTGAGTCCCCGGGCTGAAGCTGCTCTGGTTGACTGGATTCCAATCAGTAGCCGGATGTGTGCGGTCCGATTGGCTGGCCCGTTCAAAGCTTCGTAGTCGAGCGGGACTAACAGGTGTCTATTCGTCATCGATGCCTATGCACCCACAAACCCTATGGATGACTCTGTAAAAGACGAATTCTATCGCCAATTGAACGAGCTCCTTCGCCACAGAAGAAGCTCGGACACTGTAGGGCTGGCTGAGGATCTGAACGCTCAAGTTGGAAAATTATCCACTGATGAACTGCATCTGGGCGGCCAACACGGTGTAGGCCCCCGTAATGATAACGGTGACCGGTTACTTCATTTGTGTGAAGATGCTGGCTTATTTCTTGCGAGCACTAATTTTCGACACAGCACGCGCCGGAGGGTGGCTTGGCGTCCACCAGCCTCGAACTAGCTATGAAAGTAAATCGGTCACGTTGCGATAAGTTACCGATGGAGAGGCTGCGTCCAGAACTGTCGCTTGATTTGGAGCACAGATGTGGACACCGACCACGCACTTGTACGTACTGACCTGCGGATGCGTTTTGGCGGACGCCCGAGACGACGTTGTGAGCGCTTTGACATCAGCCAACTGGCAAAACCAGCAGTTCTGAATGCATATCAAAGTACTCTGACATGCCAGTTGAGTAAGCGCTCACTGGATGCAGTTGAAGCTCACTGGTCTCATATTCACCAGTCCTTAATAGCAGCAGGAAAATTCTGTGGTAAGTCTAATCACCAACACACACATTGGGTCTCTTCGCAGTCTCTGGAACTTATCCATGCTCGCCGGCATAATCCGGCTGGAAGCGAACAATGAAACTCGCAAAGAGCTCCAGGCAAAGCTCCGTGCTAGCCTGAAGAGGGACCGCGAATCCTGGTGGTCTCATCGTGCATAAGAGATGGAAATGGCTGCTGCCCATGGTAACCATCGTAAGTTATTCCGGCTGATACTGGAAACGTGCAGCAGATCTGGTGTTAGTGAACCTATACGTGATGAGAGTAGATAGCCTACCCACAAATTGTCAAAACGCTTGGAATGTTGGGCTGTGCATTTTGAAAGAAAATGTAATCGGTCGAGATGGTTGGATTTCTCGTCGGCCATTGATTGCCCCGCACCCTGGGCTGTCCCTTTGGATCCACCCTCCCGCTCAGAAATCGAACGTGAGATCCACTGTTGAAGTCAAATAAAGCCGCGGGACCAGATGATCTACCTCCAGCCCTCTTCAAATTCGGGGGACCTGCACTTGTGGATGATTTGCACGAGCTACTAATGAAACTGTGTGAGCAAGAAACGGTCCCAACCGACTGGAGCCGCTCCGTCATAGTCCCAATTTTCAAGGGAGGCTCACGATCGGAATGCGGCAACCATAGAGGAATCAGCCTGATCTCCATCGCCTCCGAATTGCTTGCCTCTGTCGTCCTTCAGACCAGCTGCCACTTGTAAAAGCCATATTCGTGAAGAGAAAGCCGGGTTTCGACGAGGTCGTGGCTGCACTGACCACATATACACTTTGCGTCAGCTGTTGGAGCACCGCCACATATATTGGTGACCCACCTTTGTCGTGTTCCTCGATATCAAAGGTGCGTCCAATTCGGTGGATAGACGTGCACTTTGAAACTGTTTACTCGGGAAAGGTGTACCTGAGAACTGTGTAAATATTATCCGAGCATTATACGCGCGTAGCTCAGGCAGAGTGAGGGCTTACGCCAAGCTGTCGTCGCCCTTTAATATCTCCAGCGGTGTGAGACAAGGATGCCCGCTGTCACCTTTCCTCTTCAACTTCGTTATTGACGAAGTCATGGAAATCGCGTTCACAGGACACGACTTTGAAGGTGTGGATCTGCTCCCAGGAGAACGACTCCTTGACTAGGAGTAGGCTGACGATATTGCCCTAATCGGTGACAGCTTCCAGACGTGCCAAGCGGCACTGGACAGATTAAAACTGACTGTCAGCCGCTTCGGGCTTTGTTTTGCACCATCAAAATGCAAAGCGTTCCTCCAAGATTGGATTGGATCGACTCCTACCCTGACCCTTGGTAGGGATCAGCTTGAAGTCGTTTAAAAATTGAACTACCTGAGAAGTTGCATCAGCGCCCGTGGGGATGAAAATGAGATTATGAACCGTATAGCAAAAACCTCGAGGCGCTTTTGCTAACCTTCGCCACTTATGGCGCCGTCGCGACATCACTCTCGCCCTGAAGGGTAGAGTGTACAATGCAGTGGTAGGTTCGACTCTACTGTACGGTTGTGAAACCTGGCCCCTTAGATCAAGAGACATAAAGAGGCTAGTTACCTTCGACCACGGGTGCCTTCGCAATTTAGCTCACATCTGATGGGAATAACGCGTGAGCAATGAGCGTGTTCGACGCCTTGTTTGCGGCACAGGAAAAGAAAATGAACCGTTCAGCACCGTTATTTCACGCACCAGGCTCCGATGGCCAAGCCACGTGTTACGCATATCAGCCAACGGACTCCAGCGACGTGCGTTTTTGCACGCCGGGCGTGATTGGAAGAAGAGAGGTGGCCAAGCGATGACTTGGTCAAAAGGAGTGAAGGCCCTCACTTCGAAGCTGGCCTCAGTTGGAGCGTCATGGCTCCCTGGTACGTGTCCGAAAGACGATGAACACGTTTGGCTGGATACACTTGTTATGGCTAGAAGCCGACCTCAGTGGCGTTCGTTCTGTGAGTTTCTTTGTCCCACCCCATCCCTCTTAGCTTCTCCTTCCAACCACGACCTCATCAGTTAGCATCTTATAATTTCGTATAGTAAATTATTATTTTTCCGCTGCATAGTAGTATCTGGCAGATAGCTTACCGGAACGATGCCCATGCGTTACCGGTAGCTCAGCTGGCTTGCACCTGTTGCATTTTATTCCCGTTTTTCTTTTAGGTATTGCAGCACAGTAGCTGAGGTGTTTCCCACCTCTAGCTAACGTGTATAGTGTGTGCACTTGAACTAACAAGTCGGGCACTATAGCTGGCTGGGTAAAGCCACGGGATAGCCAAT